GAGTGTTTTTACCTGAAATCTGCTTTATTTTTATTGGATCACTCAGAAAACATCATTGTTTTTTCTTTGACAACTTTGGACATCTTGTGACTTTTCCTCTAGCGCCACCATGAGGTCGAAGAGTCTGTTACCTCCAGTCTGATGCCTCACAGCGTTCACACTGTGTATATATATATATATATATATATATATATATATGTCCAGTGTGTCCCCCAGTGGACAGTTCATGATACAGCTGCAGGTTTCCAGCAGCGAGGTGACAGAGTTTATCTCTGCTGACTGATTATCACCGCTCACATTCCTCCAGTCTTTTTATTTTTACCAGAGTGTGTGTGTGTGTGTGTGTGTGTGTGTGTGTGTGAACACCACCAGTGTGAGTCTGTTTGTTTGGTTTGATTTTTAGTTTTAAACAGAGTGATGATTCAGCCATTGTACTTTCTCTCTCATTTTCCTTTCTCTCTGGCTGCTGCAGTTACCATGACAACAGAAACATTAGCTCTATAATAATATAATAATAACCTGTGAACTCATTTTGTTACAGGACACATGTCAACATAAAACCAGTATCACATGGTAGAGTCTTGTTTTCATTCCTCCGCCTGGCGACAGTCAGAGCGGCGGCCATTTTGTTTTCAGGTCGTCCGTCTCGTGGACTCGAAGGAACTTCTTCACATTTGGCTCAAACATTCACCTGGACTCACGGATGAACTGATTAGATTTTGGGGGTCAAAGGTCACAGTGACCTCACCAAACACAATTTGGTGAGGTCACGGTGAGGTCACAGGAGGAAAAACAGGGAGCACAACTTCCTGGTTTGAACTGGTGGAGACTGGGAGGTGTTGGAGTCACCGTCATGTGTTGAGTCTTACTGTAGCTGTGAGAGTTTTCAGCTGGAGTGACTCAGCTCTTTATTTCCTCTCTGCTGATTGGCTGTTCAGAGCAGCTTGTTTCCTCTGAGGCTGAACGCCAGCTGATGCCAGAGCTGCAGGATGAGATTAAACACGCAGGTCTTTAGTTGTTATCAGTCTCTGTACCTCCAGGTGTTGCAGCATCAGTGTATGGCTCTGTGTGTGTGATATAATAATATATGAAATAATAAAGGCTCCGACAGATGTGATGAGGGCAGAGTTGGCGCTGTGTGTTTCAGGGTACGTACAGTATACATGACCCCGGCTCGTTGTGACCTTCACCAACAGCCTGCAGAGTCAAACTCGTCAAACCCGCTCGCTCTGGTTTGTTATTGGCGTCGAGCTGCTGGAAGCGACTCGGTTTGTCCTCAGTGTTCTTGACTTTTTCCTTTTGAATTTGTGGCATTGAGACTCTGAACACAGACGAGCTTCAATGGTTCAAACACAACCATGTTTTCAACAGCACTGCTTTCAGCTTAGAGCTACAGTGGGAGTTTTTCACATTAAAAGTTTCCTCGTCCTGTCCAAAATTATTTCATCGTAAAAGACTTGAGTTGTGTGATGGTCACTTTACACAGAATGAGGCTCAGACCTTCGCTGTTGCACCTCCATCAATTCATCACCCAGTGGAAACTGCCAGGCCTCGTCCAGAGGAACACACCTGAAAACACACACATACCTGAGCAATCACCTACACTGAGCATGTGCGAGCCGGTGTAAACAGGAAGTAGATCGTCTCCTCTGCAGTTGTAGCATTAAAACAGAGAATGTAAGTGAACAACAGCTGCAAAGACAACAAGGTCAGTGACACTGTAACGGCCTCGTACCTACGACCCAATCACAGCTGTGCGGATGTTCAGTACATCACTCCATCTCGGGTGATATTGTTTAATTAATCAGGTTGTCTCATTAAAAATAAAAATGACAGCTAATAATAGATTATGACTTTAAAGTTTAAATTTTGTTGTTCTGTCGTTTTTTTCAGTTTGCCTTTTTTGTTGTCTTTTTATGTTATATGTATTTTCATAATTTTTTACTACTTATATTTATTTTATTTATGTATTTATGTAGATCTATATATATATATACATCTATCTATATATACATGTATATATAGATAGATAGTCTCACAGTTTTATTGTTGTTTTTTCAATTGTAAAAAAGAAGAAAAGAAAAGAATCCAAGGCAAGTTAGGAAAAGAAAGCCCTTGCTGTTGCAGTGCAGAGCTGAGACTGTCCTGTTCAGACAACGGTTTCCTTTGGACCCAGTGATGATGTGATGAGGCTTCATGAAGCTCTGACCCAGGTCACTGACGCTTCATGTGAACACAGCGACATCTAGTGGCCACAATGTAAAACACACCAATACAAACAGTAGCTATATTACAGAGAAACTGTCTGTACCTTTATTCTGAGCAGAAGTTTAAAGTGTTATCACTGGAAGAGCAACAACAGCTGTCAATGAACAGAACATATAGTTCAATAAACATAAAGCATCTGTTATAATGTTACAACTGAGCCGTGTGACCTCTGTGAGATGTCTTCTGTCTACACCAGCTGCTCAGGTAACAGCAGGTTTATTCCTCATTATACAACAGGTAGCACTGACAGAGTCATCTGATTGGACGAGAGTCATTCCAGGAAACACTGGGACTTTTAACTCCGTGTATCACTCCGCTCCACAGGTGTTCTATTAACCGTTATTAAGCGTCACATTAACTGTAACAAACAAAGATGAAAATATTTCAGAAATAACGTTTGAATGAAACGATGTCGTCAGGAGAGGATGAAGGAGGAAGGTGGATCCTTCAGAAACACCTGAGGGAACGAGGAGACGAGGTAGCAGCTAGTGTCACTGTGCAGGTCAGGAACATGTTCATGTGTTGCTTAGCAACAGCCAAGTTGGAACTATTTGTGTTGACGTAGACAAATAAATGATAAAATAAACAAACAGATCATAATCTGTTGTTGCTTATTGCACTAATATGGCGGAGAACTGTTGTATAAAAAACATCACAGTGAGGGAGAGATGTTGTTCTGAATATCAACACTGTTGTGATTCGGTCACAGGTTCAAGGCCGCAAGACCTTAATCAGTATTAATCTGAATGTATGACGACACTATAACATACCTGCATTTTTTATTAATTAAAGGACATGTACAATAATTAAAGAAGAATAAAAAATAAAATTATATAAAATAT